AACATGTAAAAAATCATTTTAAAGCAATATAAAACTGATTTAAAACATTCTGTTTTAAATCATTTGCCATCCCTAGTGAAATGGCCGTCGGTGAAATAGGTGTCGGCGAATTAAGAGTCGGCGAAATCTATCAAATCCATAACCCAATTTCGCTGACAACCATTTCGCCGACAACCGTTTCGCCGACGGCCATTTCACCGACAACCTATTTCTCCGACAGCCCACTTCCCAGACAACCATTTCCCCGACAGCCCACTCCCCGACAGTTCATTTCCCCGACAATTTTGGCTCGAGTTTGTTAGGGTTGGCTCGCTTTAATAGTTAGTGTTGGCTAGAAATAAAATGGGATTGTCGGTGAAATGAACTGGGCTGTCGGGGAAATGGTTGTCGGCGAAATGGCCGCCGGCGAAATGGTTGTCGGCGAAATCCGATAAATTTCGTCACACATAACCATAGAATTAATTAAAAAAAAACTTTTATATAGAAGTTTAATAGTATTGAACAAATACCGATACGTAGTGTGAATGTATTACAACTATTCTCGCCAGACTTAACAGTAATTCAAAAAGATCTAATTTAGGGTTAGGCGCGATTTCGGATATCTGCACGATATATATATATATATATATGGGCTAGGTGTTGGAAAAAGGGGCCAAATCAACTATTTTTTTAAATCTTTTTTTGAGCCTAATTCCAAATTAACTCAGGAACACTTCATTTGAAGAATAAATGCTGTTTATGAATAAAATCTTGAAGTATAGCTTTTAAGTTTATATTTCTTATGATTTAATACGTATAGATTTTATAATATAAGGATTAATTTTTCGCAAACCTTATTTTTGTTAATATCGACCCTGTTCTCACACTTAGCCCATATATGAAATTCTGTAATGTTCAGCGAAAACAGTAGTAAATTTCCAAATAATGAATGTCGTTATTACTTTTAATTAGATTAGATAAATTAACAATTTCTGAAATTGAATTGAGGAGATGGCTTATTATTTAATATATCTTCAATTTCCTTTAAAACATCTGGTGTCAGTCTGCACGCCAATTTTACTGCTTGAATATTCTCTTCTATTTGTTCAGGTTTGGATGCACCAGTGATTACAGTATTGACGTTTGGTTGTTTAATACACCTTATTTAAATAAAAAGGATTTAAATATAGCGCAATGTTAATTCCAGAATTCAAATTAAAGAAATTACCAAGCAATTGCAAGTTGGGCAGATGTCATCCCGATTTTATCAGCAATGGGCTGTATTTTATTGTTTCATAAAAAATTTTTTAAAATATTAAAAAGTCATTTCAAAAAAAAAGAAAACTAGATAAATTAAGACTTTTATTAAAAAAAAACTTGCCTTTAATTTTTTTATTTTTTCTATCTTAATTCTGCCCTCTTCGCTTAACAATCCATCCCTTAATCGCCGCATAACAGCATTGTCTTGTAACGCTAATCGAGAGTCTTCAGCTATTTTTTCATTATGTTTACCCGTCAAGATACCGCCGGCAAGAGGTGACCAGACTGCAGCACCCATTTTGAATTCTTTGAATAAAGAAATATATTCATGTTCTACACGTTCGCGATGGAACATGTTGTATTGTGTCTATAAATATTCATTAAAATCGGTAAAATTTAAAAAATAGAAAGTCATTGAAAAAATGGTGAAAAATGGTAGCTTACTTGTTCAACCTTTATAATAGCAAAAAGTATTTTAAATGTATAAGAATTTTTAATAAATTAAAAGACAAAAGGAGACTGGCTAGAATATATTAGTAAGGGAATTACCAGTGGAGGAATAAGTAAAAGTTGATTAGCAACACTATAAGCTTCTACTATTTGATGAGCTGCCCATTCAGAAGTTCCCCAATAGAACGCCTTCCCTTGGTTAATTACATAGTTGAAAGCGCGAACTGTTTCTGCCATTGGCTATTATTAAAAAGAAAAATAATTAACACCGAATTTTGAAATAAAATAATCTAAAATAAATTTTTTTTTAAAGAAATTAACACACGGTATCAGGGTCTGGTCTATGAGCATATACAATGTCAACATAATCCAACTCTAGTCTTTTCAGAGACGCGTTTAACCCCTCAATAATATGTTTTCTAGATAATCCTCGGTCATTTGGACCTTTTCCACCCCAAAAGATTTTTGTGGATATTACAAAATTAGATCGTTTCCAACCCAAGTTCTTGATTGCATTACCCATATCGATTTCAGATTTTCCGCCGTCGTAAACTTCCGCAGTATCGAAATAGTTAATGCCATTCTCGAATGCTACCTGCATGCATTTTAAAGTTACATCTGTTTTATTCATATCAGAAGAATTACAAAAAGGCAAACGCCATTAATAAAGGAGAAAAGGAGCAAAAAAAATAGTGCCACTATATTGTTTTACCTGGTGAAATTCGGCCGAAGTTAACCCAGCCACCAAGAGAAAGAACCGAAATTTTGAGTCCACTGTGACCCAAATATCGGTACTCCATCTTGTCGACAATTTTTTTCGAAGTCACAGAAAAAAAAAAAAGGAAAAAAAAAAAACAAACTTTAGTATTAAAATAATAATAATAATAATAAATAACGCAAATGGGTTTTTAAGTCGAAATCAATGGTTTAAGTACACGTTCACGACTCCTTCGCTCTCATAATAAAATGTAGTGCAATGAATTGTGAAAGGACAAATTAAATTCCGAAAAATATACACCGGATATACGTTTTACCAATTAATAAACCCGAACCTGGAAACTCAGCATAATTGCATATAACGATAACTGTGAGTGATGATTAAGTATGTGCTACTAGGTTCTTATCACACTTCTAAAATTTTGTATATTATGGTTTTAATAACATCGTCTCATAATTTATCTATGAATATAAATGGAATATTCTTTGGAGACTCAAAAACACATGTACGTACGTACGTACATAGATAAGATATATGTGATAATATATTTCGTGGCTTAAGATTGCCTCCATAATGTTATGCTGCAATAGGCAAAATAAAAACGAATTTCTTACAAAATGATGTCTGCAGGACAGTTCCCTTATTTAGGTTGTTTAATATACATATATAGATATATAAAGTTTGTTTTCATTAACAAAAGAGCGTTCTAGATCGTCTGGTTTTAAAATTGTTTAAATGTAGAATATATATATAAAAACAAAAACAAAAAACAAAAAAAAAATATATGTTTTGTTACGCTAATAAATTAACCCAATTTGAAACACATTCTATATTCAGGTATTCCGATTAAATTCTACCGCGTTAAAAACTGTCACATTAAAGATTTAATCCAGATAGGCGAACAATCATTAAAAATTATGCATTGTAAGTTTATTCCTTACATAGGGATGTTTTCACACTCGAATATGCAAAGTTATGGTGTTAGTTGGCTATCTATACTGGTTGTGACATATCGATGTAGTTTTTAAATAGAATTAAATGTGTCACATGATCTTTAAGAAAATGGTCCCAAGCACAACGGGGCTGTTATACGTATCCTGGCAAATTACGATAGTTGACTTAATTATAATTATTGACAAGATCTCTTATCACCATATGTATATAATGATAGAATCTATTTTAAGATTACATATCACTTCACCGAAAATTAGGATATTCAGCTCCAAAAGTCAATCGATCAGAAGTCGATCTGAAGTTGCTCATGCATAATAATTGGGAATGTTGTCCCTGCCTGGTCCTTAAAACGTTCAGTATAGATCTGATCTGAAATCAAGGGGCTTAGTGAGATCAGACTAGTTTTTAACTAATCCTGTCAATATTGAAACTTGATATATTCGTGTTACATCTTAAAAGAATTATGTGATTCTTAGTAAGTTACCCGGATTTGATTCCTGTCAGAAACTTACCAGGATTCTATGGAAATAACCGGATATTTTGTTCTGAAAAATGAGCATTTTCCAGAACGATAATGGAACGATAATCTGGAGAAAGTCAGGATACGTTTTTCGAAAAATTTTTATAGGGTCACACTGAAACGACTCAAAGAACCGACTCTACTGACAATCATTTCGTTAACAAGCCATTTAACCGACTTGACGATTTACTAACATGCCTACAACTAATAAAATGTTAAAGTGTTACTCTGAGTGATGCCAGTTAAGCGAAATTACTTCCGATATTGGGGAAATATACGACCGGGTAAAATCGCCACTCAAAAAAGGTTCGAACGTCACGTGATAAATATATCGAGCACCAAAAATTCATGTAACTTGAACAAAAATACAAACATTTATAGACTAACAAAATAATAACGATAAGCAATAAATTAAGGTGACTGATATTTCCACACCCCTTTTTGATTTTTTTAAAAAAAAATTTAATCAAAGATATCTAAACACTTGACCAAATTCGATGAATTTTTTTTTTTATTAGAATTCTACAAGTTCGTAGAATTCAAATAAAAAAATGTTTGAATTTGGTCAGATGGTTATCGAGATATCTTCAATCACAGTTAGAGAAAATTTTGCCGTGGCTATTATTTTGATAGATGTTTAGATTTTTTAAAAACTTTGATCGAAGGTATCTTGATTATCACCTGACCAAATTCGATGAATTTTTTTTATTTGAATTCTACAGACATGTAGAATTCAAATAAAAAAAAAGCTCATCAACTTCGGCCATGTGGTTGTCGAGATACTTCGATCAAAGTTTTTAAAAAAATCTAAACATCTATCAAAATCGATGAATTTTTTTTATTTGAATTCTACAGACATGTAGAATTCAAATAAAAAAAAAGCTCATCAACTTCGGCCATGTGGTTGTCGAGATACTTCGATCAAAGTTTTTAAAAAAATCTAAACATCTATCAAAACAATAACAGCAGCAAAATTTTCTCTAAGGTATCTCGATAACCAACTGACCAATTTCGATCAATTTTTTTTAAAAAATTCATTGAATTTGGTCAGGTGGTCTATCAAAATAATAACCGTGGCAGAATTTTATCTAACTTTGATTGAAGGTATCTCGATAACCACCTAACCAATTTCGATGAATTTTTTTTATTTGAATTCTACAAACTCATAGAATTCTAATAAAAAAATTTATCGAATTTGGTCAGGTGGTCGTCGAGATACCTTCGATTAATTTTTTAAAAAAAGAGATCTACATGGGTGTGGAAATATCAAAAAAGGGGTGTAGAAATATCAGCCGCCTAAATTAATCATTTTATTTATTTCGAATAAATTCAGTAAACGTAATACCGGTTTTTCTATATTCCTGCTTTTTTAAAATGATTATAATCCTCTTTCAATTTATGCAATGGCTCAAAGTTTTTATTGATACTATCGAGCCATTTGTTACTATTTGGATTCATTATGTTTGCTTCAATAATTTTTTTGTTACGTCCCGGATTCAGAATTATAAAAACTTTTTGCTCAAATAAATAATCAGAGTTATAGTCTTCTGAAAGAGCATTAAAAATAAAGTCTACAAGGTTTTCTGGTGCAATTGCATTTTCTTGATTAGTTTTTATAATTTATTTCGACTTTCATTCTTTTTTCGATTATTATTATGAAAATTTGGTTACGGTAATCAATATATATTTTTAGTGTTTATTTGATTTTATGCTTTTAAAAGAATCACTTGGTTTATCGAGATTGTACGATCGCTTTGCATTTTGAAGAATCGAAGAAAAAACATCACTTACTAAATCAATTAATCTTTTACTAAACTTTTTTTGGTGGCGATTTTACCCCGATCCAATGGAACTCGAGTTTTTGCGGCCACATAATTTTCATTATTATAATTAAACTCCTCATGCTCCAACCGAGTTTGAAGTCGATTAGATAAGCAAAATGTTCGATTTTAATTTAGACTTTTAATTACTATCATTATAACGATGAAGGTTAATAATTGGGTATAATCAATTATGTAGATAAATAAATAATAGCGATAGATACAATAAACGTTATAACGCAAAAATTATATATTTTTAAATGTAAATCTTATATATTTGCTTTAATAAATAGCAATAGCATTAACAGGTTTTATTGGATTGTTTATGCAAGCATAATTATTAATACATACGCATAAACTGAGTTCGAGAACTGATTTTATGTAAATGCTTCGGAACAATGTTCCAACGGGTTTTTAAGCACAAACTAACCGGATAACATCTCTAATTAAACCTCTAAACCCAAACCTTAACATAGATCCTAATCCTAACCTAGGGTTTGGACCCGTTTAAAAAAATCCAATCCGGGTTACCTGCCGGTTAATTGTTAGCATACCCGGGTAAATACCCGGGTAAAGTATATAATCTGCAAATTATACGATTTGATTGGTTGAGATACTGTCATGTGATACCAGTAGATAATAAATAGTACGGTATATAGAAAATATTTGCATTTGATTGATTACTTTTTTTTACCCGGGTAGCAGAATCTTTACCCAGTTACATGACCTACCCACGGATACGGGTCCGATCCTTATCCTAACCTAAATAAGCTTTAAAGAATTTTACTAAAGATCACGTGTCAGTAACTTTTTGGTGGCGATACTGTGGCAGGGACAATTTTATGCTGCAATAATCCGTTAATTATGCATGCAACAAAAGTAAATTATGCGTTTTGGTGTGCATATATTTTTTGATAATTATGTGTGTATTCTACATCCAAAATCTATATTTATATATATTATGCTACGTTTTGCGTCATAACGCGTAATTTTAGTACGAAAACAACCATTCGGAGTACTTCGGAACTTAAATATTTTTCTCGACCTTGCTCGTAATTTGCGCTGATTGATTTTCTATTCAGAGCCTTTCGGAACTGTATTTAAAGAGCCAATTATGCAAAATTACGCATAAAATCATCGTATATAGATTGGTAGTGTATCATATACAGTATGATTGGCACTATTTAAGATTCTTTAATTTTTGTCGAAAAAAATTCACCATAGTAATTTATTATAAAAACCGCGTATTATCCAAACGGTATAACTCCTGTTCTAGTAAAGCAAATTCAATTCTGTAACTTGCAAATGATATATAAGCAAATTCAATTCTGTAACTTGCAAATGATATATGAATAGTGTAGTTTTAAAACTATGTTGAGACATTTTTGAATTCATTTTATTAATATAGTTAAAAAACTAAATATTTTTTTATTTACGAATTTAAATAGTAAAATATTAACAGTTAAAAATTTAAACTATAAAAACCCGAAATATTCACATATTATTATTAAATGTCTCAACATAGTTTTATAATTATACTATTCACATATCGTTTTCAAGTTACAGAATTGAATTTGCTTTACTAGCGTGGGAGTTATAACGTTTTAAAGATATGAAGCTGTTATTTGCACCCCTTGTAAATCAAAAATTTAAAATTTTCTTAATTTTGAACGAAGATACCTTGTGGTTATCGAGATATCTCAGCTGAGAAAAATTTGGCGCAGCTTTTATTTTGGTAGACGTTTTTTCTAAAAACTTTGAGCGAAGGTATCTCGACAACCACCAAGT